AACCCATTTCTATAAATCAATACTTTGCCACATGGTTTGTGGCTTAGTATACTTACTTTTACATCTTGTTTCTCCTGGCAGTAGCTAGCAGCATCTCCTTTGCTCTGTCTTTCTCCTTTCTCTCTCTCTAGTAAGAATGTCCTGCCTAACCTTATTCTGCCTCACCATTGGCCAAACAGCTTTATTTATCAACCAATCACAGCAACACACATTCACAGCATACTGAATGATATTACCCATCAATATTGTATGCCCTAATAAAATTTGCCTGAAGGTCAGGGAACAGAACAAGCCACCAAATTAAATATAGATGCCAGGCAGTGGTGGTACACACCTTTAATCCCAATACTCGGGTGTTACACACTTTTAATGCCAGCTCTAGGAAGGATGTAATATGGCAGGCAGGGAAAGGTATGTTAGGCGTGAGGAGACAGGAACTAAGCTTTTCTGCGGAAGCCTTTTCATTAGAAGCGCTTTCAGCTGGGGCCTTTCAGCTGAGGACTCAGAGACTTTCCAAACAGAGGATTTGTGGTGTTGGTGAGGTGAGACCGTGGCAGTGGCTTGTTCCTTTGTCTCTCTGATCTTTCAGCATTTACCCCTATATCTGGCTCCAGTTTTTTTTTTTTGTTAATATAATACCAGTTAGAAATTCATGCAATAGTTTTTAATTTAATAGCACTGTGGGGATGATAAAATTATTGAAAATTACTTAATTTTAATATCAGACAGGAGAGAAATACAAAGTGGGATAAATAAAGATATGGTAGAATCAGGTAGAATCATAACACAATACTGTAAGAACTGGCCCACACTCACACAGGGGAATTCCATTTAGAGTCATTTAAATGATATAGTTATTTAAATATCCAGGATGATAATTTTACGGTAAATAGAAGAAAACATAGTAAAATTAAGTTTGGAAACATTCTACAATTATAACTATCATTATCAAATCATTTAATCACGAATATTGAATGGGAATTTACATTAGTTATATAATTTGTTTCCTCTTTCCTTAGAAGTTATAACAAGGACATTTATATTTTCACAGAAATGGAGAGCATTTCAGAACTCTTCTCTTTCAGCAAGCATCTGAGAATATATATGGATACTGACTGTGAGATTTAGCCAAGAAAATCCCTGATTTGAGATATTTTTTTATGCCACATATCATCTTAGTTATTCTAGCTATCTTATCACTCTGGATTCCAGAGAATTCCTCCTTTCTTCTTAACTTTGCAAACATTATTAGCATCTTCTTAAGCATCACTAGGTCTAGAAAAATCCCCTCACCTCCAACAGCCTAAAAGACAAAGTTGCATTTTCTGATGATAAACTTTTCTTTGTCATTCTCAAACTTAACTCTTTCAGGAATATGACTATTTTTAAATCTCCTCTTGCTATGCTTGTTTTCTTGCTCATCTTTAAGCCTTTATTTAATATTTGCTTTTGCCCATCAATTAGAAAAAAAGAAACTATAATTTTTTTTTTTAATTAAGGAGTAGACTCTTGAGAAAGATTACTTTTTTTTCTCAAGGTTCTGTTTTTTTTTTTCAATTTTAAAATTTATTTATTAAATTTAATTTAACATATCAGCCACGGATTCCCTTGTTCTCCCCCCTCCCACCCTCCCATCCCACCCTGTCTTCTCCCCAGCCCACCCCCCCCATTCCCATCTCCTCCAGGGCAAAGACTCCCCCCGAGGATTGAGTTCAACCTGGTAGATTCAGTCCAGGCAGGTCCAGTCCCCTCCTCCCAGGCTGTGCCAAGTGTCCCTGTATAAGCCCCAAGTTCCAAACTGCCAGTTCATGCACTGAGGACAGGACCCGGTCCCACTGTCTGGATGCCTCCCAAGCAGATCAAGCTAATCAACCGTCTTATTTATCCGGAGGGCCTGAACCAGTTGGGGACTCCTCAGCTATTGGTTCATAGTTCATGTGTTTCCTTTCGTATGTATATTTGTCCCTGTGCTTTGTCCAACCTTGGTCTCAACAATTCTAGCTCATACAAACCCTCCTCTTTCTCACCAATTGGACTCCTGGAGCTCCACCTGGGGCCTGACTGTGGATCTCTGCATCCGGTTCCCTCAGTTATTGGATGTGGTTTCTAGCATGACAATTAGGATGTTTGGCCAGGTGACCTTCGAATACTTCAAAGATCTATTTAGAGGGCCTGATCTAGTTGGGGGCCCCTCAGCCTTTGGTTCATAGTTCATGTGTTTCCATTCGTTTGGCTATTTGTCCCTGTGCTTTATCCAACCTTGGTTTCAACAATTCTCGCTCATATAAACCCTTCTCTTTCTCACTAATTGGACTCAAAGAGCTCCACCTGGGGCCTTAAGAATGCCAAAACCCTATGACTTTACTTTTTAAATGTAAAATGTCCCTTGTGTTGTGTTATATGATAAATAAAGCCTGCCTGGAGATCAGAGGGCAGAGCTAGCCAGTAGTTCACCATAAAGTGCTGGCAGTGGTGGCACACACCTTTAATCCCAGCACTAGGGAGGTGGAGACAAGAATATAAGGTAGATGGAGACAGGATCTCTACCTTTTCACTCTGAGGATTCCTAGAAATAGTATCGCCCCTGCTTTGGTCTGAGGTTTCTTAGAGGTAAGAAGTTTCTGGTGACTGGGGCTGCTCCTTTGCTTCTCTGATCTTTCAGCTTTTACCTTAATATCTGATTCTGGGTTTTTAATGATAAGACCAGTTAGGATCGAGCTTCATCCTTGTCTCAGTTAGAAGAGAAGTATACACCAAACATACTTGTTTTATCATCATAAAATTTCTATTGCTGACTGAATTGTCATATAAAGTTACTTACTTTTAGTTTATGTACATGCTAGGCATATGCAAGCCAGCTCTATTTCTTCACTTATCTCAGTGAATGAATTCCTTCCTAGCAATTCCTAGTTTAATTCATTGAGAGACTGTTTCTCCTCCCATGGAAATACTAAAGCTTATCACTTCATAAAACCCCCACCTCTCTCTCTCTCTCTCTCTCTCTCTCTCTCTCTCTCTCTCTCTCTCTCTCTCTCTCTCTCTCTCTCTCTCTCTCTCTCTCTGTCCTAACATCTTTTCCTCTTTCCCTTTCTTTCTCCAGTGGTCTCTAATTCATTCTTCCTTACTCCATGATGCATGTGGGTTATTTCCTATTGCTAAAATCATCAGATTATATTGTCTCATTGGATTCCTTTTGCTAGTTGAGGGTCAACGTTGAGCTTACCATGTTCTCTTGACTCTGCTTTTATAATGATTAAAATTTCTCTGGGGAATGGGAAGGAGAAGGATCAGTAGATGAAACATGTGACTAAGAAGTGTGAAAACTTGGATATGTAAAGTGTGAAGCCTTTGAATCCCTGGAATCTACATAAAAGTCAGGTGTGCATGATGACTAGCTGTAACTCCAGCATTCTGGAAGCAGAGACAGGGAAGCCTGAGATAAATTCTAGTCTACCCAGATTCTGTGAGCTCCAGTTTCACCAAGAAGAGAAACACTCCCTCAATAAATAAAATGGATTATAAAGGAAGACAAATGTCAATCTCAGCCTACACATTCACATGTACACATGTGCAAAATATCTACAATTATGTGCCCATACACATGTATATGTATACATGCATACACACACACAAAAAAAAACCCACTACAAATATACTTATACAGGCAAACAAATACTTTTTTAGATGTATATAATACCTTTCCATACCTGCAGAACAAATTGTTATCCAAAACTTTCTCTTTGCTTTTAAATGCATATTTGCACATGGAACCTACTAGTTATCCTCATGATAGATTCAAATATGTCATAATCAGGTATTTCTTTCCACCTTATTTTCTGCAGATGTACTGGTTGATGAATTGCAAAGTGCTGCCTAGCTACTCCTGACATTATCCTAGAATTTCTCTCTTCCCGTTTATAAAATAACAACTTTTACTAACAATTATGAAGTCTGGAATAAGTGATAAACAATAATCTTCTCCATGTCATCAGATGAAATTAGTCACCAAGCCTGTAAATTTTTCTTTCATCACAAATTTCATACTTACCAGAAGAAGTCCTGTGTTGTTAACAACTTTTAGCCCCATACAAGATTCTGCCAGATATTCTGTCTTGAAACATGACACAAATCCCCTCAAGGTGATGAGCTGTTTAAATGCCTTTTAGATTTCTTCTTTTATAACTTTGCATAGGAACTACATCTTTAGCGCAGCAACTATGGTGTTCCTTGCTTTGATCTTGACAACCTAAATCCCCAGCTGTTTCCTCTCCAAATATCCCAAAATAGAAAGACCATACATGACCTGGAAGCAAAAGCTATCTCTTTTCCAAATGTCACTAAAATGGAGATTGTCCCTCCTTCCACAGTCATTTCCTGTTTAAATTCATTTTCAAAATTTTTATATAGCCAGTTTCTTACTATAAGTGGGATCCACTCTTTAAAATTCACAATATACCCTGATTTCTATTTCATCAACATTATTTTTAACTGTATTAATCTCCCCAGAGACAATTGTTTTGCTAGATAGGACACGTGTTTTCTCATGGTTATTCTTCAGATGCACCAGGTTTTCAAATGCCAATCATTAATTAGTTGTTACAATTTTTATACAATGGAAATGTTGGAAAATGTAGATAAGCCTCATACTCTAAGAATGTTGTTAGACCTCTGCAAACTTTTAATAATAGCTAGGGAACAAGTACCATATCTAATAAAGAGTTGAACTAATGTATGAAGGAAGTATTTATTCATAGATAAATCATAACGGGTGATCCACCAGTTCCTTTAACACCCTCTTCCTTTCTTATGAAAACAGCGCCCTCTATTGCATGCACAATTCTGTGATCTTTTCTTAAGTAGCTCCAATCACTCATTTTTTTTTTCCCTTAAATCATCATGGATTTGAGCTCACTGTTTTTTCAATTTAGCCCTAGGAAAATTATGGCGAGATACGCATTCTCTAATTAACCTAAAAGTGAACTATATTTCATTGCTTGTAGGATGGTATGGGGAATCTGAGAGTCACCAAGAAGGGAATCCGACTTGAAGGTATATCTGAGTTTCTACTTCCATTGTATGTGAAAGAAATTCATTCCCGAAAGGTATGTGATATGGCTTTGGCTTACTCTAAGATAATTTCGAGTCTGTGTTTTCACTCGACATAGGAGCATCCAATCTCCTTATCCCCTTCCTTTTCATTTAATTTCTTTAAGCTTAAGACTTATTTGAAGAAACAAAAAGAATCAACTGAAGAACAATGGAAAGAGTTAGCTTTGAATTAGCAAATCAGGAAGCATTTGAACCGAGACGCTGCTGCTTTTAGTCTTTGAATTGTGTTCTTCTATCACTCAAAATTAAATGCGGTGGTAGCAAGGAGTTTGTAAGCTTTAAAGGATTTTCTCAGAAAGCACATATGGATTAATTATTTCGATTTAATGTATCAAACACTTCCCCCTTAAATGCAAATGCATTTCCAAAACACAACAACGTTTGAAAGGAGGAATTAATTCATTACTTTAACTACTGCCAGAATATTTGTCCTTTGGATGCATGGGTGTATGCTAGGCATATTTTGCCACTTAACAGCATGCTAAAAGAAAAAAAGAGTTAGCTTAGTAATTGCTCAATTTGACTTGAGTTTTACTTAGAATGTATCTACTAGTCTATGGCATCAGTATATCTCCAATCTATCAGAATGTTTTCTGATATGTATTCATGGAAATAAATTTATTAAGACAGAATGAAAAGATTCTTATTTAAAAGTTTCAGAAACAGATTTGTCTCATGTAAAACTTATTTTAGATAAAAATAATACTTCAGTGTTACCAAGATAATATATTAGGATATTTCTACAGTAAAATTTGGATAATTTCCATTAAGGTTTTTTCCCATTAATATAAAAGTACAACAAAAAGGATTTATTTCTAAAATTTTAATAAGGATATATGTATCAAAATTTTTTTATAATATATAAACTATACAGAATATTGAATAGACTTTATTGAGTATGCTTTCAGTAGCACAAATTTAGTTTAATATTACTTCACAGATATCAATCAGATATAAAACAATAGGCACATGTGTTGATACATGACCTTGAATGATTAAACTTTAAAAATAGGTATTTAATATTTGAGATAAGTTTTATGTATGAAAATTGGGCCAAAGTGGTTATATACATCAGTGTATTCTACTATTCCTTCATTTCTCAAATACCTCCTGTGCTGTTCACTATTAAATTGTTTAGCAAAATTAAAGAAATTAAAATTTATATATAGAAATTAGAAAAATACTTAACCTACATAAAAGGTGATAGTGGTCACACAATCATATATATATATATATAATATAATATGATATATATATATATTTATATATGTATATTATAAATGCATCTTGCTGGAGAGTCCAGAGGCAACAATGGTGATTTACCTCTAATGTCTTTTGAGAGTATAACAAAAGTTGTTCTCTGAGAACGTGGGTGAGAACTGATCCCATCTCTGGCCTAAGTAACAGAGTATATTATCTTTATAGCCTAAATGTGTGAGGCAGGGGCAGCTTTATTTTCTGCCTAGAATAACTGATCTCAGCTTCACAAACATTTCCAAAGTCAGCTGCATGGATGGAGAGCCGCAGTCCTTGTTCATATCCCCATTTTTTGCTACCGGCCATCTCTGTGTCTCTAGATTTTGCCTGTTGGTAATTAAGAAGGGGTGTGCAGCATGGGAGGTGGTGACTACAGTGTCCAGAAGGGACATCTGCACTGATAACAGAATACAAAGGAGACCCATTCCTTGGAAGATTTCTCTATATGTATGCAACAAAAAAATTAAGGAAAATATCTATGTTATAATTGATCTTCATATTACAAATTGCTTGCCTTGAGTACATATAATCATTTTTCTTGCTGTAAAGATTATTTATCGCATTTTTAGATGAAGTCAGGCACATAGTTTTCCTCAGCTTTAACTTCCAAGTTAATGAAGGTAGGAATGTATACAAATGCTTATCTCTCAATATCTCTCAGATTCAGAAGATACACACAAGTCACTAGTAATACTAGAAATGGAGTTTTAATTAAAAATTTTTGAGATATATCCTTGTAGGTACCTTCCCAAGTGTTTTCTTAACTTTTGTAACAATTATTTGTTATTTGTTGTTGTTGTGTGTGTGTGTGTGTGTGTGTGTGTGTGTGTGTGTGCGTGCATCACTGAATTTTTGTGGCTCTGAAGTCTGAGGACACATTTTGGCAGTCAGTTTTCTCCTTCAACCATGGGGAGCCCAGGGACTAGAACTCAAGTAATCCAGTACAATAGCAAATAGCCCACCCTCAAAATCTTCTTGCCAGACCAATATTCTCATACATTTTTTCATGTAATCAAATCTAAGGAAATTGCCAAATCTATTAAAATATATTAATTCAATTAAAATAAGGAATCTATTAAAATAAAAACCCACCCTAAACGATTCATAATAGAAAATGTTACATCGTATTACTGTTATTTTTGTGTATGTTTCCCCTCTTAATTTCAGCCTGCTTGCCTCTTCATCTTTAGCCAACTGATAGTATGTAAAATCCCTTTCTGGTAGCTAGCAGGATGTGGTTGCTCAAGACTATTATCCTGGCATTTAGCAAGCTCATGAAAGATTATGGCCATGTGTTTGAGGCCAAGTGAGGCTCCATAATGAGTCTAAGGCTACTGTGGGTTTTATAAATCCTATACATGAAAAAGTTAAATCCTATACATGAAAACAAGATTCTTTCTGGACAGAAAGTACAGCTATCTACAAACACACGAAATTACATAACCTGATAACACATGGGTTTGATTTAATTTCCTAGGAAACTATTCTCATCCTCACCACTCTCCAGCTGCTGACACACACACACACACACACACACACACACACACACACACACACACACTACAGATATTTTTAAATATCTTCTATCATCCAGACAATTTTCTCTTACTCAGTTTTTAATCAAACCTTTCTAAGCAGTCCACAAAAACTGTATTTAGACATGTATAGTATATATTCTACCTTGCACATACTCAGGATTCAATGCCTTTCACACATTTTTAAATTTGAAAAATATTAAGCAATGTTCGCCCAGCTTAATCACTTCCTGTCAGTTTGTCAAGTTAAATGCCCAGTTTTCTCCAGCTAGGAAAAACACAAAGGTTATATAATTTGAATTGTATATGGTAAATGATATCTGATAATATTCCATATATATATTCAAGGCACATGGTGTCACATTAGGACAAAATATTTCAATTTCAGGAAATTAAGACAATTACATTTTAATATAATTGGTGTGCAGGATGCTAATGAGCTTAAATAATACATATTTTTACTATTCTGTTCAGTAAAATTGGTACCATGTCGTTTTAACCATCTTAGACTAACCTAACCACAAAATTATATTGTTTACTTTTTTCCTAGTCAATGATCTTTACTTAAGTTGGTTCCTCATCTGACAGGAATGGTGTATAACAGACTAGTAGTTATTTCCCAGCAGCTGCCCTCAGATATTTCCAACTCCAGTATGTGGGCAGAAAGGCAATGAAGTCTTGAGTCTTTAGACTTCTGAGTCAACAAAGTATTAAGAACTATGCTCTTCCTATTCCCATGCACTTGGGTCCAATGTTGGGTTTCTAACTCAGTGTCTGGTTACCATTAGTTTTGGGCTTTGTGTGTTAGAGTTTTTCTGGATTTCACACACAAAGACACAGGCAAGTGACTTTTATGTCTATGTGGTAGCATAGTAGGTTCCTTCTCTGTCTCTTTCATGTATCACAGCATATCTCATTTATTCAGATTACTTTTCCCCCATACATATCAATTTATACAAATAAACACCATAGGAATTCCAAAATTAATTTATCATCACCATCATTATAATTTTGCAACTGGATGTTTAATATGGGAGACATCTGTGATTTTTATAGTATTGTCTGTTTAAACCAAATTTCAAATAATATACATCATTCCAAAATCTTTACACTGAAAAACAACAAAATTAACAGCAGCATCATGGTCATATAATATTTCTGCAAAAATCAAATGATAAAGAAAACATATATGTAAAGTGAAACATGTACATACTCTTTTAAATTAATATGGCATTTAAAGGAAAAATGCAAAGTCAATTGAATAATTGCTATATTAGCATACTAAAATTTAACACCTGTCTTTATGGCTAAGAAGTAATGATTATGAATATGATTAAGAAGCTGGGTGTATTAGCCTCATGATTAATATCACACAGCATTTGGTACCATCATTTGTGATGATTGCCTCCCCTCAAATCTGTCCTCCTCCTTCCCCACTTTCTCTCCTTTTGTAACAATATCATTTTAATTTTTGTCATAGTCAATAATATTTCCATTCTGCTTTGCTGCTGTATTCCCTGAACACTCTGGTCTTGATTCTGCCTGTATATGGAAGCATAACCATTACTAACATTTTTGTTACTGGAAAGCCCAGTAGGCATTTAGCATTCTGATGATCCCTTGCTTTAACTTACTGGTAAATAATTTGCTTGTTTGCTAATTACTGAAATATCTAGTCTCTCTGAATGATGCATTTGTTGTTTTTTTTTTTTCTGGGAATGTTAGTGATGACACTTTTCTTTTCTTCAGATTTGTAAATATTTGCCTAGTTAACCTTAACATTGACTATTGGCATAAGCTGTTGAAAAACAAACAAATATTTTTCTCCTGTTGATGACATAATGTAATGTTTGGGGATCTGGGAAGTATTTGAATTCCTTTTTTTCCATTTCAGGGAAAATTTCACTCTTGTGTCACCTGATAGCTCAAGTGTTGTTTGCTGGATGGTGACTGATCAGTGTGAAAGGAAGTATCACTATTTTTTCCAGAAATCTTCTGGCCTCATCCTTCTGGTAGCTGAGAGTCCTTATATTTAGGGTTCTACTTGGCTACTAACTTTCAGTTTTACTTGCTGAGTTTATTAGTTCAAAGGTAGCAATCATCCTCACATCGCCATCTCTCTGCATATTTAAATGCTCTGTGGTTTTCTTCAAACCATAAGTAGCAGTTGTCTGGATTTCCTCTTATATGGAATTACTTTC